ATTGGACACCAAGTTGATTCGCTTGTTCCCCAACCTGTTAGGGGCTGGGAGTATGAAATAGGCTTTGCCCTGGAAAGATGAAATGTGGCTCACATAATTGACTAGCACACCCCTTTAGTAGATTGAGAAACAGCATTTATAGGATCCAGAAGAAGCCACAACTAAAAAGATAGACCAGTGTGATGGCCTTCGAGGAAAAAGCAGAACATTTTAGAGGTATCCGCTACAGTGACAGCCATATTTATAAAAAATAACTGGCACATTTGCATTCAGAATTTTTGCACAAGAAAATAACCTGCGTTAGCCATGAGCAAAGGACAATTTCACGTATAAACTGGGGGTTAGACTCCCAGTTAACTAGTGACCAAGTGTCACTGCCATTTGGATAAGTAAAGTGTAAGGCTATGTCTACACTTAAATAGCTACAGCAGCACATTGGAAACACTGCAGCAGCACCGCGGTGATGTTTCAGTGTAGACACTCACTATAGCGACAGGAGGTGTTCTCCTATCACCATAGTGAATCCACCTCTCCGAGAGGTGGTAGCTATGTCAACAGAAGAATTCTTCTGTCAACATTGCTGTCTAGCCTAGGGGTTAGATTGGTTTAACTATGTCGCTCGGGGTGTGCATTTTTCACACCCCTGAGCGATGTAGCTGGATCAACCTAACTTTTCCGTGTAGACCTGGCCTAAGTGTTTGCACATGCCAAAATTGTGCCTGTAAACACAGAGGTGTGCTGAGACTTTTGTCAGAATCTGATCCTCGGTCTTTAGCCCAGGAAGCATCTACGTGGTTTGCTGGGGATATTGTTTTGGGAAATAAGATCTTGATACATGTAGTAATATTGTGATCTCGGAGAAGCCCATTTCTCAGAACTGTTAAGAGCCAGTCAAAAGTGAAGAGATGATTGCCACTTACTCTAGATTGGATCCCTGGATGTCTGAGATGTGAAAGGCCCATCTAGCCAAAATGCTGAATGAGCATCACTGAAAAGGACTAGAAAAGTAGAATAAAGAAGGAGCATGCAAACACCCTGTATACAATTAGATTTTTTTTACTGTAGCTCTCTCATGTCTTCATATGTGAAATATTAATACAAATGTCCACAGAAATTAGAACCATCAATAAAACTGTAGCATTATTTAATATGTAGCTAAATGAAACAATAAAAGCTTGTGCATCATGATTTTTTATTACCGTAGGCCATAATAAATCATAAGTTAGTTCAAAAACCACACGGACAAAATAAAGTTCTGACTTTTAAGGGAGACTTCCCAGGCTTACAGGCCCCAAATCGAATCTCCAACAGAAATTATACTTAAATAAAATGTGTCCTGCTGATTTTGAAATATCTGTGTTACCCTTCACCCCAGGCCTGAAACACTGATAAAATATTTATCTGCTTGGTGGATCTTTCAAAGTCAGGTTACAAAGTTTGTTTGTGACTGCAGATGCAGTTGATGGATGTGCATGTGAGCCTCTGATCTGCCTGCTCAGGAAAGCTGGTGAAATACAAAACAGAACATACTCTTGTAGAGCAGGATACCTTGTTAATTTCCATCCTCTGCCTGTTTCGAAGCAGGGAGAACTCAAGTGCGGCACTGCATGTTTGCATGCAAGTTGCATGGACACCTGTGAGATGCAACAATGTTGGTTAATCAGGGTTCTCTGTCTAACAGCCATGCTGGTATCCCTTTAAATATATTTTGCTTTGACTGTGCCCTCTTTGATGGGGACCCTAATGAGCCTCCTGGCAAACTTCCAGCACATAAAAACATTAACAATTACAGCATAAAAACAGAAGCGTTTTTGGGTTGGCAGCTCAATTATGTAGCTTGTTATGAGAAGAGCATTTTCTGCTTTTATATATGCAACATGTTTTTCCTTTCTTAATGCTGTCACAAGGACCTAGTCCATAACTGTGTAGGCAGCATGAGGATTAAAATCAAATGTATGTTCCATTGTTTAAAATGTCAGTGAGCATGAGTTCTTTTTAGCAGAATTGCATAAAGAGACTGTCATTTAGAAAGGACAGTAAGTGGCAAGGACTGGAAAACCAGACAAAAGAATATTTGCCCTTGCAAATGTTACAAACCTACAACAAATAGGCAAGCAGATAAATATTTGCATATGTTGCCATATTCATAGTTTTGCTGGAACACTGACATGACTATAGTTATTACACAGCATGGGCACCGACAGACTAATGTCTTTGCAAAGCTCATCATCCAATAATAAAGACACAAGAAAGGAGTAGGAGGCAACCACCAGAGCAGTATTGCTCAGGTCAGTGGCTAAAACAAGGGCAGAGCTGAATGTTTCTGACCCGTTTCACACATAATTTGATAAGAGTCTTCAGAACCCGGGGCAACAATAATAGGTACATTAGAAATGCATGAAGATAGCTAGTTTCTTTTTGCTATGGTTTGTTTGCTGGCCTCTCCATATTTCAAATATTTGAACAGGCTGGATTAGAAGTGAGTATGCTGAAACACCGAGGTGTTCAGGGGGACCAAACAGTGGAGCAATTGGCCCACCTCTGTGACAATGAAGGCTAGTTTTGCCATCATTGCTAGAGCTGTTCCCAAGACCGTGATATTTTTGGAGAATGTAAAGTAGAATGCTGATTGGCTTGCATTATGACCTCTTTCTG